TTAGCTTAGCCTGTTAGCCAGCTAAGAAAAAAAGGGATTTGATCGCCCCGCTGCGGAGACATGGTAACACAATGCACGGCTTATACATCTCACTTTTGCGCCTTGTGTTACAATACTGGTTTGACGATCAAGATAAGATGGTAACGGAAATGGACCAATGACAGAGTTTCCTGAGACTATAACCGACGGCTGGTGCTCCTATGTAAACTGCGTCCGGAGTCCGGACACAGATGTCAAAACACGGGACTGGCCGACAGCGAGCGGCCCCGCCGGAGTGATTACAGACAAACCCGCCTGACATACATTTCCAAAAGCAAACTGAATAAAAACCAAACAAATGTACGCGAATTATTACTTTAATTAAATGTCAACGGGTCTCGGATGAATATTCATCATGAGTAGTAGCAAAACACAGCATTTAATAATAACAAAGACGGCGGAGATAGCCTTTAGCCGGCTAATTTAGCTGCTAACTTGCTAACAAATGCTTTACAATAAATGCAGCGCTCGTTAGCAGCTAAACTAGCGGCTAATGGCTAACACCTCCGTCTTAACTGCATTGACAGGCTAAATGTTCACCGGTTTGTTAGCCAGGCTTTGCCAACACCAGCCTTGAAAAATTACCTGCTAGCTGTCTCCTGAGTAACAGTGCTGATTGGGGCTCCGTCATGTTTTTATAAGTTATATTCTATGTCGACAGTCGTTCACTTCGCTAATGAATGAAAAATATGTTTGAATTTGCTTGCAGGTCTTTCCGTCTGTTCTCTAGTCCGTTTTGCTCAACATTCTGATCCGGTGTGCGCATGCGCTCTACTGTCTATGAGGCCGCGAGGAGAGAAGGATTCGCGCATGCCCAGTAACAGTGATGGCTTTGAGGGCACGGTTTTGTGTTAGCGCTCCAATGGTGTTATTGTGTGAGTCTATTGAAAACGTGATTCTAAAATTCACACAGAAGACGATAAAATAATAACTAGATGTACATTTTTGTGAAGAAAATGTGAGTGGTGCAAAACTCGTCACTATAGGTAGGCAGATGTTAGGACATTCTGCATGTTAACAGGACAAGCACCACTAAGTAACATGTTTTCTCCCTTTTATAGCTTAATGCTCTACTTAGTATGTTTAGTGATTAATTATGCTGTGTTTTCTTAGTTTTGTAAACCAGATTAGATGAAAAGTTTTTGATTTTATGGACAGTATACTACTAGGCCTGCCGTGTCATTCAACCACTGGGTGACAGTAAAGAGTAATCCAAAATTCCAGTTCATCTATTGCGTAATTATTGATTAGCATATAATTTAGTATGCGATTTAACAAAACCCATCCTTCTTTTTATAATGGTAACCTATATTATTATAATGCATTATTATCATAGGCCTAATTATAATGCATACCACAACCTACTTTTTCATGACATCAGTTTATCTTTCATTGAAATCAGCAATAGGCTACAGATGTGGTGAGAGGTCACTGCTCACTGTAAACAAGTACGTGTGATGATGTGGTCTTACAGAAAACGTACAGTAGCCTATGTCATCATGCTACATAATATGGTAGAATGTACAGAGGCTTTGTATTTTGGAGAAGTTGTTATAGGCAGGGAGGATTTCAAAAGAACACTTGTGCACCATCGGACAGGAAAATACTGAAGTTTCACAATTCTGCTTTGAAGGAAGGGTGGAGGGGGGGGGGTAAGGCAAGCTATTACTGGCAAGCCATCTCCAGGAAACATGATTATGATTATATCTAGAATGAAATATGCATGCATTAGTATGAAATGTTAACTATGAAAATAAGGGTCATAAACTCAGTTGAGTAGACAATACAAGATAAGGTTTCCATTTGAAGAATTCCCTCACTGGTGTTTATTTTCTGCCAGCTCTTTTATCAGACCTTTGTCCTGGTGTTCAGAGTTCAGAGCAAGAGCATTGATGTGAAACATAATGCCAAAAGCCCTGCAAACAGATCAGTGTAAAGCAGAAAGCATGAAGGGAGTATGCATGAAAATCTATTGGTTTGTGGTCTATATCGCAACACAAGGAGGAACTGTTCTGCTGCCTGTGACCTAAAAAAAGGGGTAGGCCTTGGGCTTGATTCTAACTTGATAACCCTGTAGTGTGCTGCATGCAGAGGAATGTCTTTCTGTTTCTACAAGTGACATCTCAAGGAACACAGCAAACGACGAAAGAGAAAAGGAAAAAAGGCCAGCAAAAAAAAAAAAATGGATTAGAGCAGCACTGGACATTGGAGAACATCGACTGAAGTGTAAGTAACTGAAATTATTGAATTAGCAAGTTGCTTAAATTGTTGAAATTGTCAAGGTAAAATGATCTTCTAATTGTTCAATATGCATTTTGTGAACAAATGAATAAATAACAAATGGGAATTTAGCAGCCTCAATGTCTAAAAGACTGGTTGTAGGCTGAACAATCACATGGCATTGTCCTGTGGTGGTCATACACAGCTAATCATCACAACAGTGGCATTGTTGGCAGTCCGCTATGGAACTGAGTGCTGACCTGAACTGATGAGACCCAATTGGAAGTAGCCTATCATCTGTTCGGACTATCGCTATAAGAGAGGTTAAATCTGACAGATCTTCCCTCAAGCACACTGAAACATGTATAACTTTAGTAAAATATTATAGTGGCCATATATTATATTTACTAGGTAGAGGATGCCCTTCCTGTGGCAAATGTGAGGCCAAAATTAGGACTGCTGCAATTAGGACTAAAATAACAGCTTGCTGCGGGTGCAACTAAGATCACAACCACCAACTTTGAGATAGCAAGTTCCGGTCTTCATATTGCATTTTCACACAATGTCTGTACATACAAGTCAGATGCTTTGCAAAATTAGTATTATTAAAAGGACAAATTTGTTTGTGAGATGAATGAAATGACAAGTATTCTACTCTGTACAGAAATGAGAGAATACACTAGGAAAGTTTGAGAGTTCTGGGCCTATTTATTATCGAACTCCTGCCTAAAATTATGTCACTGTGCTTATTTGTCTTTAGAAAGTTCTGCAATTTGACTGACCACACAATGGCTGTATGCTAGGTTGCAACACTAAACACCAGTAAACATCCTCATAAATGTAATACATGCAAAGCCTTTGACAATTAATTAGCTTTCAAGAAAAAAATGAGTTCTTTTTACACAAATATTTTTTTGTTAAAGTAACACACATATATTTCTTTTACCACCAAAACACTATTGTATTTTGTTTAATTAACTTAACCTACTGTAAATAATTTTCAACTATACTTAATTGTCAATCGTTAAACTAATGTAAATGGTTTAATTTCGCGATTCAAAAAACCCCGGGTGCGACTATTTTCCACGTATTGGATGAAGATGGTGTGTGAAGAAGGTGGCAAGGTGCATGGCCTCAGAGAAAATATAAAGTTAATCTAAAAGCAAAGTCTTTCATTTCTGTTAGTATTTCGGAAAGAATTTTCTGAAATGCTTTAAATTTATGAGAGAAAAAAAACATTTTGGCTGCTTGTTCAAATTGCTTCAAATGAGCTTAAGCAACATAATTGATATACATTTTGTCCAAACTTAATTTGATTGTGTTCAATCTGCTTAAATATGTCAAATTAAAGTTTACTTAATCCATTTGTGTTGCATTGAAACTGGGCAGTGCTTGTTAGTTCCCAGCATGATTTGCATTTAGCTGAATTAAGAGAGAATAAATGAAATTGAAATTAAGTGTTATTTTATGAGTTTTTTAGAAAATGAGTAAAGGGGAAGATTTTATAGAGTGTAATTGTATTTAATGTTGCAATTATTAGAACCATTTAAATTACGTTGGGTACAATACCATTGTGGAGAAGAGTGGAGCATTTGGTTAGGATGTGGACTGATTCAAAAATGTATATGTCTTTATTCTGAAAGACCATATATTACCTTTAAGTACTGTATTACCTTTAAATAATAGCTATAGCGATAGTCTCGAAATTTGTTTAAGGTATCTTGTAAATCCTACATACTTTCATTTTCAGTGCAGTTTTAAAATAAACTAAAGTATATTCACTAAACTTAACCGATTTAAGTTACAGGGAAGCAATTCCATTGATTTGTTTGGACAATTATTTCACATAGATTCTTCATTACTATTTCACATAGAATATTTCTCATTCAGTTGTGTTGTCACAACACAAGAAGCTTACATAGATTCAAAATAATTTGCTTGTGTGGAACCACTGTCCATAATTTTATTAAGTTAGTCATTTTTTTAAGTGCAAGTTAAGTGTTCCTAATCGTGCAAAACTAAACCAAATTATTTGATAAAACACTGTTGGGTGTTTATTTCTATATGAGGCATTTGTCACCACTCACCAGCCTTGTTCATTGATTGCAACTTTTCCTTGCTGCCATGGTTACTCTTAAAACATTGTCCAGTGTCCTGGAATCACATGGAAGCCATGTGAGCTCTATACCACAGTTCACAAATCATTCATTAGAGGGCTTGAAAACCACACTATTTTTGCATTGTTACCATCTATGAAGTTCTTAAAAGTCATTTTTCTTCTTACAGGGGCAAAAAAGTCTTTAGGTAACGATAGAGTCAGAGAGTACTATGGCCTCCAACCAACACAGACCAAAACCCAGCTTGAGCCTCCGCTCAAACACAACTGTACGTTATGGCTCCATGAGCTCTGAACAACCAGATAGTGACACACCCTCCGTTCAAACAGCCTCCATTTCTCAGCGATGCTCCTACATCTCAGTGGCAGTGCTCTGCTACATCAATCTCCTCAACTATATGGACCGTTATACTATAGCAGGTGAGCACACTATAGCCATAGCAAGTGTGATGGTTCACAGATTGTCACTTGAAATAGTGACAGATGTTGTTCTGATTCTGTTCCAGGTGTGCTGCTTAGCATCCAGAAATACTTCAAAATCGATGACAGCACATCAGGTCTCCTACAGACAGGTATCAGTTTTAATTTGTAGCACATTGCACTGACAAAACAGTAAGAAGGATGACAACATTGCTGAACTTGATTTTACAACAGTATGTCCTTGTTGGAGATGAACTAATAGGTATTTTACTGTCATTTTGTAAGTTAGTAACAAGCCTGGTATTAAGTAAAACACAAGTAGATATGTTCAAATTTGTACATGTAAATGATTGCTTGAGTTTGCATTGCTTGAAAGTAGCAAAAAGGCTCATGATCTAATCCAACACTGATCTGGTTTACAGTTTCATGCTTACTCAGTCTCTGTCTGCTCTAATCTCCAAACTGTTAGGTATTACTCTGCATACTGACATTCATTAAAATAATATACTTTGCTTCATGGATTTGCATAATCCATACATTGATACCATGTTACAGATCAGGGTCCTCCTTGCTCCTCGTGGTGCCGTTCTGGAGGAACCATGCTTGGTTTCCGGAACTGATGCAGCTCACGAGCACTGCTCTGTGGCCGATTCCATTGAGAAAGGATCTCCTCTCTCCACGGTACTAGAGGCAACGAAGAGTGACCCTTTCGGGCCACTGCAGTCAGTGGACTTACGGTGTCTCTCGTTCAAAACCAATTTTCTCATGGCTACCGCTTCAGTCGAGCGAGTGGGTAATTTACACGTGCTCTCTGTGAGCGTGTCATGCATGGAATTTGGGCCTAATGACTCTAAAGTTATGCCTATGTCCCCAAAGTGCTCTCCGCTCCTTTCAGAGCACAAGTCATTTCTCTGTCAGCCCTTCCGGGAACTTATGACGAGAACAACGTAAATCTCCTTTGCCCCGTCAGGGCGCTAAGGATTTATGTTCAGCGGTCTGCTGCTTTCAGGCAGTCAAAACAGCTTTTTGTTTCGTTTGGTGGCCGCACTAAGGGCTACCTTACAGAGCATTTCCAGATGGATAGTTGAAACTATTGCTTTGACTAAGTCTAAAGGGCTAAAGGCCTAAGTGTAAATACTAAAGGTATTAGAGTCCATACCACTAGAAGCATGGCCTCATCCTGGGCCTGAACTAGTGGTGTTTCACTCCAAGATATTTGTAGAGCAGTAGGCTGGGCTATGTGTGGATGATCTCAGCATGCACGGCACTTTAAATTGGGTTCCCGTGGCGTAAGCCAGCTTACGCAACACGAGAGTATCTCGTATGAGAACCTAACCTGGTTTGCGTAACCCTTGCGTAGCGCTGCGTTCTGGTTTGCATCAGTATTAAAAACCAAGGAACACCCTATCTGGACTCATATATAGGGATTATATAGGGCATATATAGGGATAAGCCACGCCTTTTTTGGCAGGACATGAAGTGCAAGGGCGCCCCCGCGCCCTCATTGGTGTTTACGTCATGACCAGTCCACTGATAGGTTGCAGCCAATAGGCGTACAAGTTGCCTCACCTAGCTCTACTCTATGCAGCAAGGTGTTATATAAAATATATACAAAATTAAAGGATAATTTTTGGCTTCAGTATTCTGGAGAAAAGGGATTTTCCCATAGCATAAGCTAGCTTACGCAACACTTGTTCCCGCTTCTAGAGAGAACTGAGGTTACGTTAGTAACCAAGTGTCGTTTTCAGTTCAAAACGGTGTTGTGTGTATGTTAATAACTAATGATTTTTACAATGGAAATTAATTGATTAAAAACTTACAATGACTTTCTTCTAAAACAGCTGTACAGCCAAAACAATTATTGCATTATTTTCATAACACTGTTAAGCTGCTTTAAAACAATTTGTACTGTAAAAATCACTATAAGGTGACTTGACTAGATTGCTTTTAGCCCGTATTCTCCTGTGTACCCTATTCTCCTGCGTCTTGACTTGTGCTTATTTGTTACAGCCACACCGTGAAAATTGCAAACTTTCAATGGTAGGGTGTATCTTTGCCATCAACCCTATGCTAACATATGTATAGTTTTTATCTGTAGCTTTATGTTGTTGGCGCCAGTTTTTGGTTACCTTGGAGATCGCTACAACAGGAAGCTTCTCATGATCGCTGGGTTGATTGTGTGGATTGTTACATCACTGGGCAGCTCTTTCGTCAAAAATACGTCAAAGGTACAAAGTCTTTATGGGGAATTCCGTTGTTTCAGTGTAATCTTTTTGAAGTCTTACAACCCTGGTAATGTGTAATTGTTTCATTTTGTACCGGTACTTTTGAACACTATCTTTATATAACTATATTTAACAGTTCAAATGGAAGAGAATAGAAATGTTAGTTACAGTTACAGATCTTTTTTGATTCTCACTACAGCACTTCTGGATTCTGGTCCTGACGAGGGCCCTAGTTGGGACAGGAGAGGCCAGTTACTCCACCATCGCTCCAACTATCATTGGTGACTTGTTCACTGGCAACAAAAGAACTCTCATGATCTCCTTCTTCTATATCTGCATACCGGTCGGAAGGTGAAGATCTTACTAAACTATATTTAAGAAAGAAGTTAAATATACTCTGAGAATGATCATGTATCACAATTTATACAATAGTGTTGTTTTGGTCCTAGCATTTCATTGGCTGAGAGGCAATCTAAAAGTTCATAAATACAGACTTTTAACCATTTGTATTACCAGGGCTGCATTTCCCAAAAGCATTGTAAAGTTGGCAATGGTCCTATGATCAGCAAAGGCTTAAGATGCAGCCCATGTCAGAGCAAACTCTGAAAGATTTCATTGGTTAAGTAAATCAGAGAGCTTTTTGCCAACACAATGGTAAAACAAATTCTAACCCCTAACCCTACCCCACACCCTAACCGTCACCAAAGAAATTGGGTTAACTCTTTACCTCTTACTGCATTACAGTAACTCATTAACTCTTACTACAGGCTATCTTTATGCCAGTAGGGATGACAAGTGACTGTCTTTACAAGTGTGTCATCGACTCGTTTATTCAAATGATTAATTCAAAAATGGATTGATTCAGGAGCGAAACAATTGTCTCATTCAGATCAGTCAACTGATTTGTTTGAAGTTCTGATTAATTCAGAAACTGTCGAGGCTCATTTAAGAAAACAATAACCATTTCACTGCAAATTAATAAAGAACTTACAGTAATTTACGCCTCACAAAGAATAACAGTCAATTTTATAATGGTTACTTTTCTGAAATAAGACATCCTCATTGACATATGTTGCAGTTGCAGACAAATGTGAACTACGAAGGGCGCACAGAGATAATTCTGTTGTGGTTTGTTTAGAACAAGCCTCTTCTATCTGTTGTATAAAATCAGATGGCAGAGATGGCCAGCATTGGGGAAAGTTACTTTTAAAAGTAATGCGTTACAATATTACGCTACTCCCTTAAAAACGAACTGATTGCAGTACTTAATTACTTTTAAGTAATGTGATAAATAACTTTTGAGTTACTTTTTGTCACCTGGGCTGGCTTGCTTGGTTGTTTTTTTAATAACAAATAAAAAAAGATATTACGCATTACTTGTAAAAGTAGTCTGATTATAACACTCACTTTCTTGTAATTCTTTACCCAACACTGGGATTCTTACACTCTAAAAAATGCTGGGTTGTTTTAACCCAATTTTGGGTAAAATATAGACAAACCCAGCCATTGGGTTAAAAATGTAATTTAAAAATGTAACCCAATGGCTGGGTTTGTTCATATTTTACCCAAAATTGGGTCAAAACAACCCAGCATTTTTTAGAGTGTATATGAAGAGTTCAGATGCAAAAGCCTCTAAATGCCATTTGAAATTTTCTTCTTTAATGATGATTTTTATCAAACTTGTATATTTAAGTTCAGTAATTTAACTTAAATGGCAATGATAATTACCTATTAATTGTTATTTAAGTGAAATTACTGAACTTAAATATACAAGTTTGATAAAAATCGTCATTAAAGAAGAAAATTTCAAATGGCATTTAGAGGCTTTTGCATCTGAACTCTTCATATATACAATACAATGTTTCCATGTTTACAAGACTTTTGCTGAATCTTACTCTTTCTGACGGAATGTATTCTTTTAAATTTTCATTTAGTGGTCTAGGATATATAATGGGAGCAACTATAGCTAATGCAACTGGGGATTGGCGTTGGGCCCTGAGGGTAAGATAATATATATTTTGTAAATATATATGGAGAGAGAAAATATTGTGCAGAAGCTATATGTTAACTTTACCATGTTAGATTTAATAATCTGTTAATCTTGTGATCATGCTGCCAACTGAAAGGTGGTCAGCCAGCTATAAAATGGGCTCTGTAATGCATTATATTTTAAGGGTCTAATTGGATTTCCTTCCTTGGACTTATATTGCATATCTGTTCTATATTTAAGCTAAAAAGTTCACTTGAAAGTGGAACAGTTTTAACAGTTTTAAGTTAATATTCTCTGTTCTCAATAAAACAGGGGTCTTAAACAGGGGGTCCAAAGCAGTTTTGCAAAGTCTGGCAAATTATTTGGTCTCAAACAGGAAAATATTAAATGTATTAAACAAAATTGCAATATTAAATTAACCTAAACCAAAGATTAAGATGTTTTGTTGTCTTTCCATCATTAAAATACACTAAGTAAAATATCATTTTTACAAGATTATGTACATCTGTCATGATTATTTTAGTGGCTTTGCTATGTAAGCATATATTTGATTAAAATAATCAAGACAATTACCTTCCACATTTCTAAAAGGAAGTTGAGCATATTGTTTGAGTGTTTCTTCTGATATAGTTCAGTCCTGCTCTTGGAGGACTGGGTCTGCTGCTCCTTGTGTTTCTGATTCCCGATCCTCCTCGAGGAGCCTCGGACAAACAGGGAGGAGCAACGTTGGAAAATACTGCTTACATTGAGGACGTCAAGTACCTCTGGAAGAAGTAAGTCACATTGTAAAGACCCACATTACATTAAATGTTTAAATCTTTTTTATTATTATTATTATTGTATACAATGGGGCTCTTAGGGTTTCAGGTTGTTGCAAATATCACTTTTTTTATTGTGTTTTGTTCTGTGCCCTCCTTCCAGTCGGAGTTTTGTCTGGTCTTCTCTTGGCGTGACTGCCATGGCTTTTGTCACAGGGGCTCTGGCCTTCTGGACCCCCACCTTTCTGTCTCGTGCACAGGTTACACAGGGTCTCAGGCGACCTTGCAGTGAAGAGCCCTGTAACCCTTTAGACAGGTACAGAAAGTTTCTTGATGCTTTTTGACTTGATATAATTGAACAGATCTTCAATTAAAACAGGAAAACAGTGAGGTTAGCAGTAGACCAGTAAAATGAGATTAGCCAAAGATTGGTTAAACTGCAGAGACTTCCTCTGTGATAGTGTTCATATCTGTGTGTACTGCAGCTGTTTTTGCTTTCGCAATCCTCTCAATTTATCTGATCTAGCTATATTTCTCAGCCATTTCCAAACTGAGTTGAGAGAGTATTATCAGTTTGACTTGTTGATGGTAGAGAAGTTATTGGCAGAGAATGTTCTGAAACTGAGGCCAAAATTGAATAATATCTCACTGTTTCTTCTTTCTCTTGTGAAAGTTACATTTTTGGAGCAATCACAGTGGTGACAGGGGTTGTGGGAGTGTTTCTGGGCACCTACATATCAAGGAGGCTGAGAGACAGATTCCCAAATGCAGACCCTCTCATCTGTGCTTTTGGCATGCTCAGCTCCTCCCCCTGCTTTTTCATTGCCATCATCCTGGCAGGCACCAGCATCCCGGCCACTTACGTAAGCAAAGCTCAGACACTTTTCTGCATTTGGCTGGATTATTTTGTAATTCAGTGTAAAGGGATAGTTCTCAAACCTGTATGACTTTCTTTTTTTGTGTGTGGAAAACAACAGAAGAGCATGTTTAAACTGTTTTATCCGTAAAATGTAAGTTGTATGGCCAGAGATAATCCTGGAATAAAACTGACTTTGAATTTACATACAAAAAACCCCATATATTTTGTGTTTCACAGAAGAAAGTCACAACACGGGTTAGGAAATGTCAGAATTAAACTTTTTGGGTGAACCTTTTTTATGTTATTTACCAGTGTGATATAAAATTGCCGAAAAATGTTGTGTGTGAAATGCATCTTTTATATTTTAACTACTAACCTAAACTTAATTGCTTTGGGACAGATTGAGTACATACAGAACAGATTATTTGCTGTTATGGCACCGTATGACCACCAGGTTGCGATATGCTCTCTAAATACTCGAAAAATTTGAATGTGGTGCAAAAGTTCATTTATTTCAGTAATACAACATTTACTGTATATAGACTCATTATGCAAAGTGAGATATTTCAAGCCTTTATTTGTTATAACTTTGATGATTGTGGCTTACAGCTTTAAAAAAAATCTAAATATTAGAATATTGTGAAAAGGTTTTCATAAGCTGTAAGCCATAATCATCCAAATAATAATAAAAAGGCTTGACATATATAATATATTAGTTTCACCTTTTAGTTGAATTACTGAAATAAATGAACTTTTGCACGATATTCAGATTTTCCGAGTTTCACCTGTACAGCATGTTTCTTATGTTTGTGCCATTTTTTTTTTACAGACATTCATTGCAATTGGAGAGTTGTTGCTGTCCCTTAACTGGGCTCTTCTGGCGGACATTCTGCTGGTGAGAGGTTTATACTTCTCAATACAACATAAAAAAAAAAGTGCAGACGTGAATACTACTCTTTTAAATTAGCACTGGGCGACAAGCATGTGAAAACTTGCTTAGTGATTCAATAAAGCTAATAGCATAAAAGTAAAATGCCATTATGCTTAAATTTAGAAACGTCGAGAACAGGGATGTATTGTTTAATTATTGTCATTCTTGTTTCATGTGTGTGATTAGATTCAATTCCTGAAAAAATGTTGTGTGTAAAAAGGCATCTTTTACATTTCTTTCCTATTATTTTTAGTATGTTGTCGTGCCTACCAGAAGAGCTACAGCTGAGGCCTTACAGATTATGGTCTGTCATCTTCTTGGAGATGCTGGAAGTCCATACCTTATTGGTGCGGTAAGCATATTTTAATCCACAATGCTTTCACATTAAATAGCAGATCGGTCAAAACTATCCAGAAGTGCTATATAACACAAGGCACTACTGGATACAAAATTGCTCCTTGTGAAACAGTTACTGTTTTGGCATAATTACAATGGCTTTTTTACAGTGTAGTACTGCTATCGAAACGATTAATCACGATTAATTGCATGTACTGTACTAAAAAGTATACATATATTATACTGTACATACAACATTTGATCTGCGATTAATCAATTTGACTGCACTATTTAAAAGACAAAATGACTCATCTTTCTATGTGTTTTGTTCAGATCTCAGACGCTCTGCGTAAGTATAAGCCAGACACTCTCAGCTGGGACTTCCATAGACTGGAATATAGCTTTCTTCTGTGCCCCTTCATTGGGGTCTTGGGAGGCCTGTTCTTCCTAATGACCTCTCTGTATATCAAAGAGGACAGGAAGGCAGCAGAACTGCTCACTTCAGGTAATAACGGGCTATTGTAATTACAGACTGTCCAGTCTGTCTTCTTGGTGCCTTCAGATAATGATCAGCCAGTTCGATTTTAAAAATGAATAAATATAAAGTGAATGCAAGACACAGTTGGCAGATAAAAAAAACGATAACAATATTAAGTAAAAAAGGGACATTTGAAATAGCCAATTATAATGACTGATTAATTGGAAACAAAGCTATTAAATGTATAAATAGCGTTGTCAAACGATTAATCGCGATTAATCGCATCCAAAATAAAAATTTGTGTTTACATAATATATGTGGGTGCATTGTGTATAATTATTTTGCATATATAAAAATATATATATAAAACATTGCATGTATATAAAATATTGGCCGAACTCCAATAATATCGGTCCAAAGAACCCAATTTAAAACGTGAAAAGCTGTCACATTTTATGCAATCTTGAAGCTGGTTTTAGATGTTACTAAATAGCGGTACATAAATGCATATGTTTGAAATATTGTCTTTCCTTTCTGTCGTCTTCAATTCAGGAGAGGCTCCTGCACCACCGGAGACATCCACAGAGTCAATGTGACCTTTTACACACGACCGAGACCTTGGATGAGCTTTGCTACATCAAGCAATCACTTGTAAATGAGACATGGACATGGTTTGAAACTTTCAAATGACAATAAGCATGTGTTGTGACAGGATACGAGTAATGTACAAGTTTACATCACTAAAACACTGGACTGGCATCTTACTGAGAAAAACAAACAAACACATTAGGATGCGTTTTTATATTTTACATTTTTTTTTAATTAGTCATGACTTTCATACGTGTGAGTAACTTATTGTCTTGCTTACAAATTTTCCATAAGGGAAATTAAACTGCCTGTTGTAATTTTTGTCGTTTTCAACCATTTATGCTAAACAAAAAAATGTTGACAGACAAAGCTCAGCTCACCATGCACTTGTCATTAGAAGCTTACGGCCTGCTTTCTCCACTCAGCAGCTGTGTGCTACTAATGAGAGCCTCAGGGGAACAAGGGGAGAAAACAGCCCCTCCTGGACTAAAACTTAAAGCTTGAAATACTGTATGTGCCAAATTAGTCTTGAGACTGAAATATTTTTGCAAATTAATAGGCCATTAAAATATCATTATTTCAATGTACTTTTACATTTTTGTTTTGTATCATTTATTTTTATTTTTTGTTTGTTTGTTTGTTTGTTTTTTTTACAAAAAAGCTTTAAAATAAATGTATGTTTTTTATACTTTGGCTGCAATTTAATTTCCACATATACTGTAGTAGTTAAATTTTGACATACCCTTAAGCAACAGTAGGTGTCAGAATATACTCAAGTTTAAACCACCAGAACCTGTTGACATGCAAAACATTCATGACCTAAACAGATGGAGTATTAGCCAAACCATGAATCCTTTATTCAACCATTATCAAAATGTAAGAGGTCTTGAAAGTGCCAATAAAAAGTGCCCTTGCATTGATCGATTTATCAACTTACACACAACGAGCAATACACATTAAATAAACATCAGAATTTAATAGCAAAAATATATATTAAAAATGGTTATATATATTCAAACTTTTTTTTTTAATTGTAATAGTATGGTGTAATAGTAAGCCCACTTCTTGGGCGGTAATGGTTGCACACAAATTAATTTAGGACACAGCTCAAAAATTGTTTTGTACTTATAACAGTGTTGTAGTCGAGACCACCTCACTCGAGTCCGAGTCGACACCGAGTCCATAGAGAGTCGAGTCCGAGTCAAGACCGAGTCCATAGAGAGTTGAGTCCGAGTCGAGTCCGAGACCAGAGACGGTCGAGTCTGAGCCGAGACCGAGACCAGTGAGGGTTGATTACCTAATTTACTTTTATTTACTTCGAGAAATCCTTTTTTTTTTTTTTTTTTTACTGAATTTACTTAGAGTTTAAAAAATATGATCAGTTTAGGGTAAAAAGGCCACATAGTAGGTGGTGTTAAAAGTAATTTTATTACAATTTGTCATGCGCAGTTGCGCACTAGAAAATCACTGGACGTGTCAATCAATTTAAAGAAATATTTTATTAACATACATTAATAATCATGAAAAATATTTTTAATTGAACTCGAGTGGACTCGGGAATAATTCCGAGTCCTAAAAAAAAAAAATGTTCGAGTACGAGTCAATTCCGAGTCCAAATGCACACGAGTCCATGACAAGACCAAGACCATTAAAATATGGTCTCGAGACCGAGTCCGAGACGAGTCCGAGTCTCGAGTACTACAACACTGACTTATAATTAACTTGCCTTGTAAAAAATGTATGATGATCAATAAGTTATGTTTTAACATTGCTTTACCTCGCCAAAATAAGTTCAACTCATTTTTTAAAGTCAATTATTGTTTGATTTAAGTTGAAATAACTTAAATATCCAAGTTCGCGGCAACGTTTTTTAAAGCAAGTTTACTATATTGAATTGGATAGAAGTTCAATATCTCTGGTGGGTCATGATTAAAAAAAAAAACATTTTTAAAGAGGGATTCAGCGATTTGATGTGTTTAAACCTACCTAGTTTTCATGCAAGGTGAATGTAATGTTAGATAACAGTTTATCGAACATATCTAATAGATGTCATACCGGAAAAAAACAAAAACAAACATGGTATTTATGCCAAGAGACACCAAAGTGCACCATGTGACATTACTGAACCTGCGGAAATTTCCTTGGTTGACATAAGAGATCATTAGGACACCTGATAAAGGTATAATTAAAAATCTATTACAGGTTTCAGCAAAGTCCTTTATTGTGTGTTAAGCAGTTTTACCTGTCACCTGATACCGTCAGGAATGCTCATTTATTGATTATTTCTTTAGTGGTATACCAACTGGTGCTGATGTGTAATACATTTTAAGTCAGGAATGTCCCATAGGTAAGGGTTAGTAAACAAACCATAAGACCAATCCTATTCATGCCTCAGTGTGTACATCAGTCTATTAAATGCTTGTTTTGAAAAAGGGAGCTGTCAATAATCCAGCTAAACCAGTGTCATACCTCAGTGTAACTTCTAATAACAGACATGAAAACAAGCCCTAACAAGCCCCCAACCTCTCCGACACAGAAACCACAAAATATATATTTAAAAATTGTTGTCATCACCTATACAAATAGACCTGCATAGTCAAAGCTCACTCCTAGGGCTTAAAATTAGTCATGAGCTTAATAGATGTAAAGATAATGTAACACTGCTGTTTGACAGTATTGAAAGGACAGATACTGTTTTCCATTTATAACCAGTAGTCCAGTGCACGCCCTTTCAAACACTTTCCTCAAAACACTGAACTTAAACTCGGAGTGCTATTGACCGCAAAAGGTCAAGGTAATTCATTTAAAGCCATTGTCGCTCATTTGTTTGCCTTTGGCTAGAATCCATTTCCTTTACCCTGTTTTGTTCTTCTCATCCGCACACTTGTTTTTCTGACCTTGTGTTTGGAATTTTGAAGGCCTTCGTGACAATCTTCATTCTTCAGCTTTACTAGATTAGGAGGTGCATGCATAACCACGCTGAGAAAACATGGCCACACTTTCATACACACAAACGTACATGCATACCTGAAAAACATTCCATTCGGGGTAATAATACTTTGACCCGCAATCAGGACACAATAGGTATTGTGTGCCCTCCCTTTATCTGAGCAGTTGTGTGTTTCCCCTGATCGCCTGCTGAACCTGGCAGGAAGCTGTCACAATGGCTAATAAATTTACAGGGCGATCAATGAGAAGCATTATGGTGAGCCAAAAGGAGAGAGAGAGAGAGAGAGAGAGAGAACTGACATGGTTGGTTGTTATTTAGGCCTGGTGTGCATTTCAAAACCATAAATAAGAGGAACACTGTGTGAGCACACACAATACCCATATGCACAAACAAGGCTCATAATTTCATAAACATTCAATTATTGCTGTGCTGATCTGGAACAATATCAAAGAACAAAGCGCCTTACAGTAACTCTCTGGGTGAACAAGAGATATGCTATATTGTCCTATGTAATTTGCTGTGCTGTTGATTAAAATGCCCTTAGCTTTGCATATTCACAATTATGATGATGCCATGGTCTTTATAACTCAAGTTCTGCTTTACAGTGGTGTAATTATTGTTGAATTGCATGTAGCTGCATAGCTGCATAGCAGCCATAGCTGTCCTAAGTATAACGTTGAATAACTAAAAAGCTAATTGTTTTTCAGTAATCTTGCCCATATTGTCTTTTCCGCTTTTCCTAATGTGCTACTTTTCCCAACACGATTAATACGTCGCTGTTTTGTCTGAGCTGAGGGAATAAAACGCGCTCATCTCGTCTCGCTTTCTCCATAGCTTAGCATTATCAACAGCAATTTATTATAGTGAAACGGTTCATCATAAATAGTCCTCTCTCTCATTATTTGTAACACTGTAAAATCAGAGTCTGTGAAGGGCGTGTATGAGTCTGTGTGCGAGTCTCTCTCTGTGTGTTTGTGTGTGTGTGTGTGTGTGTGTATATATATATTATTTATAAGTACCTTCCCCAGCGCTGGGACATAGGCCTACCTTCACTATTTGTCTCATACGAGCTACTATTCAGCGAGATGGCACAAGATGAAAGAATTCTTATCAGTGTCTCTCGTGTCAGGGAGGAAGAGCCACTCCCTGCCTTATCACCCTCGCCCGGAGGGGTCCATGACATCACTGAGGGCCCCTACATGCATTTGATTACTAAAGTGTCTTCATAATACTGACTCATCACACTGTCCATCAGTTCAGAGCACAGAGCATGAATGGAGTTATGCCAATGCAAATTTCAGGATCTATTTTTATAACTACAGGCCACACAAGGGCTGACACACAAGAAAAGTTTGCATTCCCCTGACACATGCAATAAAAAAGGAGTATGAACTGAAATGGTCAACATGAAATGAAAACTGACCCTATTTCTTTTTTAAATCGACTCATTTGTGCACAGTCAGTGTAATAAATTCAGTGTTTTGTAATGAGCTATTTTTTTTTACCTCTCCTAGATGTATGTGTTTCTCTTCTGCTACTCTAGGACCTGTTTTGAATGTGTTGATTGGGGAGCTTTCATTCTGCTAATGAACTTCAGATCACTAATACTCCTGCCAGGATTCACTTAAGCGCGCTGGTCTCAGATCAGCCCTCAGCGCATGTTAAATTCCCTTTAACACTGCAATAAGGCAGCTTAGAAAACTGTTCTCAGAATAAAGAGTTTTCCTTGTTTACTTCACGGATTTGCTTTGACAAAATATGCAAAAAAAATGCAAATCCCCAACATTTTGGGGTAGCCTATACTGTTTAATTATGTTTTGGAATAAATAGCTTGAAAGTAACTAAATAAATACAATACAGAGACTGTAGAAAAATGGTTATTGTAAAATTATTATGTAGGCTACAATACTGTGTTGCACTCTGACATACTATGCAAGGAAGCAATATATCTTCATTTATTATTAAAAATAATAATCAGTTTACAGACACGAAACATATTTAATTTTAATATGGATATCTTTGAAAATAATGATAACTATAACTGGGCTGTTCATTAAAGAAACTGCCCATAAGAATCATTTGTTCGAAGATTCATTCATTTTATTGTCTTTTTGTTTGCGGTCAATGGCTCTCAGAGTGAGTAAAATGATCCGAACTTCCCATTAGTGCATGATTTTATATTGGATCACATTCAGTACAGACTGCAAATTCGCACCAGCAACTACACTGTAAAAAAATATTGTTGGTTTAACTTAAAAAAGTAAGTAACCTGGTTGCCTTAAAATTTTAAGTTCATTGAACTGTAAAAAGTGAGTTAATACAATGAAGGAGATTAATTTAACCATCAGAAACTCAAAATTATATGTTATCTGAACTAAATAAATTATTTAAGTTGATTTGACAAAAGAAAAAATGTTGTGATTCCTACACTGTAAAAAAATATTGTTGGTTTAACTTAAAAAAGTAAGTAACCTGGGTTGCTTTAAAATTTTAAGTT